ATGAAAGTAATTACAGGGGAATCACCATAAACAGCTGATTTTCAAAACTCTTTACCTGGGTATTAACAGCGAGTCTTGTTTCATGTTCTGAAAAATACAACATCATTCAAAGCTGGTTATTCTTCTGTGGACGCTGTATTTCCACTGCAAAACCTGATTTTTATGTACACCCAAGAAAATAAGAAATTATATGGTTGCTTTGTTGATCTAGCCAAAGCGTTTGACTTTGTTAATCGTGACAGTCTATTTCTAAAGTAAAATCTGGTGGGCATCAGAGGTAGACTATGGAAAAGTATTGTGTCTATGTATGACACTGTGAAATCATGTGTGAAACACAATGGTGAGTTATCTGGCTTTACAGGAAAATATCGACACGGGATTGCTGCTTGACTATATTAACCTTTTTATACTACTATTTGCCGACATATGGTGCTCATATCCGAATTACCTGGTTTACAGCTGTCACTTAATACGCTTTCCAATTATTGCACAGACTGGGTCCTTAAAGGTCACATGCAACGCAAAACACAACTTTGCAGATTCTGATACCTTTTGGTATGGACTTACAGTAAAAAATTATCAAAAACGCAAATTCAACTTATAAAGTTGAAAAATAACGCGATGAAAAAAACCTCGCGAAATCGGAGTTCAAACGATTCACTAAGTTCACCCCAGCGCTGGGGTGAAAAGTGGTTTCAACAGCTGTGCTGCGCTGCACCCATAGCGCAAGCGCAGTGATTAGGTTCGCGCGGCTTGAACCGGGAAGGCGACTCGTAAAAACACAGCAAGTGATGCGTGCAAGGATTATCGCTGTGGTCGAAGTTGGAGAACAAAAGATGTTTCTAGAAACGTATCAGGCCATAAACAAAATATGGCTCGTGCACCTGAGTTCTGTCTCTGTCACATTATGTAATTACACAGACAGGCAGGTGTGATACTTGTACACATAACATGTTATTATGTATGTAGGTTGCAAACAAACTGCATCCATTTTTCTCGGATGACTGGATCGGACGGAAACCGGTGCAAACTCTGATTGTCAGTTTCAAGTCCTGCTTTGTACTTGAATGAACGACAGTTTCCAGCCACGCAGTAGTTCACCATCTCAGTATTTGTTGATTGGATCGAATGCAAATGCAGAAAAAATTAGCATGTATTTACAAAACCCAACATCTCTATATACACACACACACACAATGATCCCTCAGCGTATCGGCAAATGAACCAGCCAATGAAAACCTTCGTTACACTTGAGTGCACACCCACCCGCTCTGACTGGGCTCGGTCTCCCGGGTGCTTCGTTTCGAGGGAAGTTAATCCAAGTACCAAATATTGCACATTTGATTTGCGATTGTACGCTTATAATTTTGTTTATTTGTTTTTTCATAATCAGCAATGTATATTATATGTCATGAGAAAGTGATAATTGTGTTTTAATTATGTTTGTTTTTTTGGTTGCATTGTGACCTTTAACGTTAATGTAGAATTACCTAGAGGTTTACAGCTGTCACTTAATACGCTTTCCAATTATTGCACAGACTGGGGCCTTAACGTTAATGTAGACAAAAGTAGAGTTATGGTTTTTCGTAAAGGATCGAAGATTCGACCGGAGGAAATATAGTGCTTCGACCGAAGGAAATATAGTGCTTTCTTACACAGGCTCCTTTACACAAGCTTATAGAACTCTAGCAGGCAAAGGTCTTAAAGCTATGAATGCTTTTACATAAAAATGTCAGTTGTTACAACTTTTCATTAAAAACCTTGAGTGAACTATTCGACACTTTTGTTACCTTTACTATGATGTACGGCTGTGAAGTGTGGGATATTGTGAAACGTTCTGAATTTGAAATAATTCACTTAAAAGTTTGAAATTTTGCAGATCAATGTTTAAATGATCTAAATAATGGTTATAAATCATGATTACGTAGTGTATAAATGTTTTTGTATGAACTTGGCTTTGGGCATGTTTGGGAATTTCCAATTCTAAACGTTGATAATTTTGGTCGTAAACTCGAAGTAGATTGACAAAAATGTGTTTTACTATGGAAAATTACATTTTAATTTCGAGTTAAAGAAAATGTTTAAAGAAGAATAGACGTGAAAATGTGTAAATGACTTTATTTATATTATTATATGTGCCAAAATTAAAGAGACTCCCCGTTAATCCTGTTTCTTTGTAATTTGTCAGAGCCTCCGAGTGAGATGCGCCGTGTTCATTCAGCCATAACATTGCGTTGCAAGTACCGGGAAGGCTACGCTCATTGAACCGAGAAACGTCACGATATGAACCGTTTTTGACAGCCCGGCCAAATCGGACCGATCAGAGACTAACACTTTTGATAGAGGCTATGTTGGGAATGGTGAGGGACAAGGGCTTCACTTTAACGGACCAGTTTTCTTGATGTGTGATATATTGTAACATTACAATGTGGTGGTTGTTTTTGAGAGCCCGGACCAAGCCGGACTGAACTTATGTGGTACGGTGTCTGCCTTGAGAATAAAAAGAAAAGACGGCTTCACTTTGAGCAACGTGTTTGCTTCACTGACTACGCTTTGGAACTTTATACAGTGATATATGTAGGTAGATATGATACTAATCTATGAATTTGGACACACTTCAAGATACATGTGTGTTGTTCAAGTTGCCTTTGACATCACGGGCCAAGACGGGCCGACCAGAGTTAACGCTTTTGAATATATAGAAAAGAGGGTTTACTTTGAGCAACGCGTTTGCTTCAAATACTACGCTTTGAGACTCTATAAAGAAGTATTTACGTAGATATAATACTAATCTATTATATGGATATAAACACAAATTAGGATACATATGTAAGGTCTAAGTTGGGGATGGCCTAAAAGTAGGGCCAAGAAAAGTCGGGCCGGGCCGGGCCACCGGGTAATACTAAAAATGGATTGCAGAATATTAAAACGAAATCTGCACATTTGGGTAGATACACTTCCTGCCTTCACAAAGAATAGTTTGGTTGAAAACGTATAGTAACGATGAAAAAACACACAACAACAATGACTACATACCGAGATTCCAGTAGAAAAGACACCGTCTTGTTGTTATGTGTTTTCCTCGAAGGACCAGTCTACATCAGTTGTGCGCATCAGTCAAAGTTGTGACTTTGATATCCGGTTTGTCTGCTTTCGGGGTAAGAGCATGCAAGTGTGTTCGAAAAATGGCATTTCACGTTAGACTTTCAAATCATAATCTGTTGAAACTGTCCAAAATCAGGGCCTTACCCTTTTCAACACAGGCAGATGACAAAGTGTTCGAACGAAGACAAGCCGATCCTTCTACAGAGCATGTTTATGTAAGAGTCGATCACAATTTATCGGAATCTTAGCCGTTGACTTTGCAGCGCGCTGACCTCTCGGGTTTCCTTTCAACATCGATCTTTGGCTTATATTTTAAATACAGATCAACGGAGACATTACATGTTGCACACTACAAGTACAATTTGCACGAGGTGTTAATTTCGGGGCGTGTTAATAAAGGTGTCGACAGGTTACCTTGTCAGATCTCATGCAAACAAGCCCACGTCAAGCCCAGCACTTCTAATTTGTTATTCACACATTTGTTATTTCGTGGTGTTTTTTACAACATCGTTGTCAGTTAACATCGTCAAAGCAATTAGGACACTGAAGTAATTCGTGCTTTTAAGGACAATGTGTTGTCATATTCACTTGTTTATTCTTTACTTTTTCGCACACGTGATCGGGGTTTGAATTTCGAAGTTTCCAGTGTTTGTTTATAATCATCCAGCTTGCTGATTCGCTCTAATAATACTCAATGTTTAATTCCTGCAACACTTAAGGATTTCCATGCACATTCACTTGACATATTCTGGCATCATTTCGCTCCTATAAGGCACACATGCTCATGAAATGCAAACAAATATTTAAATAGTTATATTATGGTACTATCTACATGTTGATATAGTTATTGGATGTTTAATATGAAAGTCTGTATCGATCTCTTCTGAATTTCAGAGTTTGGCCATAAAACTTTTGATTGACATATGTTTTTCTTGCTTCAGTGTAATTTTCTGATAGCAGATATCAACACGAAGTTGACGATCCATCACTTCGGTTTTAATATTTCTTAAAAACATTTCATAATACTATTTTTCGTAGCTGTGATATATGTCTTAGTGATCTGTGTTTCAAACTGATGTGTTTCTCAGATTTAATAAAAATGTATGTTTTGTTGCTTGCTTCTCAGTAATGTATCACTGGAGAGATAGCAGTACAGTGCTTGTTGACAAACAACCTGCCAGTGAAGTTACATCGTGTAAAATATCAGAAAAAACACGATTCAAAATGCCAGAGCAGAAACATGTCAAGCAAAAACATGTGACGATATAAAATACCATGGTATAACTGAAATGCTTTTCAAAGAAGGGCTAAATTGTCTAACTGTATCATTTTTCTTGGCGCAAAGTCACACCACTGAAGACGTCCTTTCTGTAGACAAGATGTCTGACATCAGATCAGGTGTAGTTTGAGTCCCAGCCAAAGACTCCAATGTATTAAAGCAGTTAGACAAAACATTAATGCAAGTTAAATAATGTCAAGTGATTTATATTTAATGTTGTTTCACTTCTTCATCAAAGGTTAACTGTTTAAAAAAAATAGCGTTTAAATACCTACATTTGATTTATTGTTGAAGTGGGCAGGGGACGGTGGGGTAGCCTAGTGGTTAAAGCGTTCGCTCGTCACACTGAAGACCCGGGTTCGATTCCCCACATGGGTACAATGTGTGAAGCCCATTTCTGGTGTCCCCTGCCGTGATATTGCTGGAATATTGCTCAAAGCAGCGTAAAACTAAATTCACAGATTGGAAGTATGAATGGACATGATATCAAATTTGAGTTAGGTTTCAAACTGATGACTGCTTCTTGTTCCTTTCAGAAAACATGTCCAGCATCTGTACGTAAAGGTGCCTCACTGCGTCATAAACACCTGTATATGACAAGACCTCAACATCTTCAGATCAAGGAGCAAGGTCACTTGAAGGACGAAAGGCTTGTTTGCCTGAAGTAAGTCTAGAAAAGAGTTTCTTGCCGATGACCTTGACTGACCTTCAAAACCTGTTTCAGTGTCATAGCAAGAGCAGTGATGTTGAAAAAGCGGAAAATTATTGTATCACCGATTTTGTCAAAGCTGTTTCATACTCCGCGGATGACATCCTTGCTTTCGAAAACCACCGGAACAGGTCACAAGGAATGACCAGGGACATTATTAGTCATGAAAATCATGATGTAACAGTTCTTCAGGACAAAGTTAGTTGTAGGTCAATGTCTGATGTCCACACAATGTTTTGTGATGGAGCTGGTCAGGAGGCAAACAAAGATCAAGGTCAAGGGCCATCAGAGGAACAGCTTCTTGTTGTTCATAACTTCTTTGAACGAACTGTGAGTATTTTGTTAATATTTAATCATGTTCTTCAATTTGGGTTTCTAATCTCTGATTTGTGTACTGGGTAGTGTTGGGAATTGGTTAAAATCTCATAATTGATGATTGGTTCATTACAAGCGATCAATCATCGAAAATAATTGGTTAGCGTCATTTATCAAATTTTCCTGGTTATGTTTGTTAATGCACAAAAAAATATAGAAAAAAACATGTAGTTCTGGTGAGTTTTTTGCAAATTGCACAAAATGCAAACATACATTTCCTGGAGTCTTTAAGATAAACTCAATCCTGAATTGGAACGAGCTGCTAGTGCTTATGAAATGTAACAGACAAAACCAACCTTGTGAAAAATATTGTTAAAGCAAACAAGTGGTCCAAAATTGTTTGTGTTCAATTATGAGAAAACATGATTGATTGCTTGGTCGTTTAGTCATTGCGACCAATCTTCGATTATTTCAATTAATCGGACCACCACTTGTACACGGACATACAGTTGATAAAAAACAGAGTTGTCCAGACTTCGTTATTTACAGACCGCTGCCATATGGCTGGAATATTGCTTAGTGCAGCCTTAAACAACAACACAAACCAAACCAATAACAGAGTTGATCATATTTATTTAGTCAGTAAATCTTTATAAGTAAATCCTGACTGGGTGTCTCGATTAAAGAGTGAGTGAATATAGTTTTACTCCGCTTTTAGCAATATTCCAGCAATATCAAAGCGGAGGACACCAGAAATGGGCTTCACACATTGTATCCATGTGGAAAATCGAACCAGAGTCTTCGGCGTGATGAGCAAATGCTTTAACCACTAGGCTACCCCACCGCTCCCTGGATTAAGGAGAGTGAAGCTTGCCCAGTAACCTGTGGATTGGGTGATCAGGCTGGGTAGCTTTGTTCATTGCTTTAATGAAATGCATGCAGCTTGGCTGTTGCTCATGATGTCAGTCACTGGTTTGTGTTATTAGTGAGTGAGAGAGTGAGTATGCAGAGCCCAGATAAGCTGCGTATTTGCGTATAATACGCTATAGAAAAGTTGAAATATGCAAGAAAAATAATTGCCAGCGTATGAAAACACACTAAATATTTACGTTACGCTAAGTCAAAATAAGAATGCCTATTTACCCAATACATCAAAATTATGTTGGTATCGTATCAATTCAAGTCAATCGAAACAAACTTTTCCATCTCCAAATATTCGCGATTAAAATATTCTTGAATGATTCTAAACGCAATTAAGATGCACAACGCAGATAGAATACCAGTCATGGTTTGTTAACCCTTCACTGATTGGGCAGTCTATAAATAGTGACCAATGTACATGTCCTGTGAACAAACCAAACATGGTCGAAAGCTTCCACATGCTCAAAGTAAAATATCTAGGTTTTCTTTACGCTACAAACAGAAAACAACTTCATTAGAGGACTGCTAGATGAATTAATATTATGCTGAGTTTCACAATCTGGATCAATTGCCGGTGATATCTTAAATAAACAAAATAATAACATTAGCTATTTGCGGCGTGGAAGTGAAACAACACAATGGGAACAAGGTTTTGAAAAAAACATTTGCTACGTCGAAAGAAAAAATATCCATGGTTAATTCTAGTCTTGTTTGTGTCAGTCACACCTCTTACACTTGTTATTTGAAATGAATTCCCAGATCTTAAAAATATGGTGGGTATCAAAAAGTACAGATACCAGTGTTTGCGTTGACGCAAAAACCTGCGTGTTTCACATAAATAAATCTACATTTCACTCACGATATTTTCTACCTGTGTGTTCTGCAGGCAAAGCATTTTGTGTTCTGGGGACAGGTAAACCGAAAAACATATTTTGCCCTAGGAAACAACAAAATAAAATAGAGTTTCTCTCAGCTAATCTGACTTGCGAATGATGACAACATGCTCTAAAATGGAAGGAAATAACGTCTTAATTTCAATTTTTTTAGAGGGGGACCCTGCACCCCCCCTAGAGACATCGCCGCTGTCTGGCTTGGGCATACACCTGCAGAGTGCATGCACACGCAAGATTCTTGGGGCTATGCGTTTTAGGATCGCAAAGCTTTTTTCCTACCGCGAACACTGGATACCCACTTGAAATTGGAAATACAGACTTAGTTTTAAAAGTATTGGGGTGGAAATAACCCATTGCCCGACGTCCCAGTCCAGTGTTCTTTTCTGTCAGGCAAGAAAATTTGTATATCACGCTGTACCGGTGTCCAGTTGACTTTCCAATGTTAATTATGTTATTTATTTTAAAAATCAACAAGAAAATCGGCCGGTATAGTGGACAAATTATCAGGGCAAGTGATTTTACATGTGCCACTGTACCGGAGTACAGTAGCAATTTTAGAGTTATTTCCACCCCTGATCATACCCACATGGCCAAAGGCTTATCTGGAGCTCTGAGTACGGTCTTACGCCGCTTTTAACAATTTTCCAGCAATACCACGGCAGGGGACACCAGAAATGGGCTTCACACGTTTGTCATATAAGTTCACACACCCAACATTATCAATACACTCAAGGTGAAGTTACCAAAAGCTTTTCATGTTTATGAGTTGCTGAATATTTTTGTGGGTTAGCATATTTCAAACATTGTAATAACTTGCAAAGGGAGACAAGGCTTGTTAGCATGGTTGGTAGTGTGGCTTCGTATGATCCCTGTTGATATTGCTACCATGATTGTCGTAAGAGGCAACTGACGGGGTCAGGTGGTCAGGCTCGCTGACTTGGTTGACACATGTCATCAGTTTAAATTGCGCAGCCCGATGCTCATGCTGTTGATCACTGGATTGTCTGGTCCAGACTCGATTATTTACAGACCGCTGCCATATAGCTGGAATATTGCTGAGTGCGGCGTATAACTAAACTCACTCACTCACTCCCAGTTGTGTAAAATGATGCTCATGCTGTTGATCACTGGAGTGTCTGGTCCAGACTCAATTATTTACAAACTGCTGCCATATAGCTGGAATATTGCTGAGTGCGGCGTATAACTAAACTCAATCTATCACTCCCAGTTGTGTAAAATGATGCTCATGCTGTTGATCACTGGATTGTCTGGTCCAGACTCAATTATTTACAAACTGCTGCCATATAGCTGGAATATTGCTGAGTGCGGCGTATAACTAAACTCACTCACTCACTCCCAATTGCGCAGATCGATGCTCATGCTTTTGATCACTGGAGTGTCTGGTCCAGACTCAATTATTTACAGACCGCTGCCATATAGCTGGAATATTGCCGAGTGCGGCGTATAACTAAACTCACTCACTCGCTCCCAGTTGTGTAGAACGATGCTCATGCTGTTGATCACTGGAGTGTCTGGTCCAGACTCAATTATTTACAAACTGCTGCCATATAAATGGAATATTGCTGAGTGCGGATTATAACTAAACTCACTCATTCACTCCCAATTGCGTGGAACGATGCTCATGCTGTTGATCACTGGATTGTCTGGTCCAGACTCAATCATTTACAAACTGCTGCCATATAGCAAAAATACTGCTGAGTGCGGCGTTAAACAACAACCAACCAATTACTGTTGTCACATAGCTTTATACAGCCAACTGAGAACCATGCCTACTGCTGTTTTGAATGTATAGGATAATGATCTTCCTCTCTTTTTCAGTTGCCAGATTTCTTGAAATCAAAGCAGGACTACAGGATTTATCACAAAGACATAATATTCGAGAACAATTACTTTGGGAAAAATGTTTCAACTCGGTAAGTGGTGTCACTGTCAGTTACTCATTTTGATGATATTTGGTGTAACAATCAACGTGGAAAAACTGTTTCTTTCTAGTAATCATAGTAACCAGTGTTCACGAAGGGTGTTTCAAAGTAACTGGACATTTGGTCCTGTAAGTTTCAGATGTCTGTCTGACCCATTAAAAATTCACAGGACCCATAGAATAAAATTAGACACTCATTACAGATTTAACATTTCTTATAATTGGCATTGAAATTATTAACAAACATATGATATATCAGCAGCAAACAAGTGTCACATGTCACATATAACAACTTCTATCAAAGTCATTGTGAAATATACAGTCAGACACTGGGGCCGGTGGGTTGTAGACTTCTATCAGACCGTTGGCGAATCTGCCGGATTTGTCAGAGGGTCAGGCTCTATTCGTGAACACTGAGTAACTGAATTTTTTATTTTTTTTATGATATTGTTTTGTAACATCGGTAACCATGGTAGCTTGAGCTAATCACGCAGTCAGCAATGGTCTAATGCAGTTTCTAGGAAATCTTTTCAAAACTTACATAAAACCAGATGCCTTTATTTTTTGTCTTTTGCAAGGGCTGATAAGGAGGAGGACAGCTGAATTTTTGTGTGTCCTTAAATATGTTTACACCTTAATTAAAGGACTCAGTGAGAAAACAAGTGTCTTACTCTGTTCTGTGTTAATGTGAATGTGAATGGCGGCATTGTTTAGCCTTGTCGTTGCTGAGGTCGTTCATCAGGTTGAAGGTCCGAGTTTGATTCCATCATGATAATTCTGGCATAGTACACAAATTTGGGATAAACCCATGCTCACACTTTTTACATGAAGTGTTTATTCAAGAATGACATGTCATTGTGTGGAATGAACGGTTTCTTGTGTACATTTCTTTAGGGGAATAACGGCGTACGTAACCCAGGTGACGAAGATCCGGATCATGACCCACTTCATGTATGCACATGCTCAGTTCAATGTGCTGAAGATTACTCGTCACCCAGAGGACGGGACAGTCCGCATCCGATGGCGGATCAGCGGTCTTCCACAGCTCAAGACTCTCCTCATCTGGAAGTTCATGCCGTGGAACTATCGGAAAAACCGAGATGCTAACTCTGAGTAGGTGGAGCAGTGACGGCAAACGCTTTCACTGATCAAATTTAGGGCTATTAAAATTTCGTTATATACCTGTCATTTTCGAAACAGTATGTTTATCTTATTCTACCATAACCACGTTATTAAGATTTTTAAAAAAATACATGCTCAGTATTGTAAAGTCAGAGGTATATAATGTGATTTTATACCTCTGAATAACTTTAATTAACCAATCACAATCCAGTATTTACTGAAGTCATAGTAGAATTGTTGTTTATAAATGACCCCGTGGGAACTCGTCTGATTAAACGTTTTCTGTGTCCAGTTAATGTTTTAAGGAACTGGCAGAATATTTTAAGTGTCTGGCCACCGATAGAGATAATAGAGACTGATAATTGTTAACTGAATATCGATTGTTTATCCATGAATATTGTAATTTAGAGCAAAATGCAAAAGAACTTGAGAAAGAAAATAATATATTTCATGCCACTGGTGAGTGGTGAAATGCATCAATTACTAACATGATTTAGAAGCAACCCATGAATGAAAACCCAACCTTGTGTACTGTGTTAATAAATTAATACTTTATTCTTTCTTTGTTTATGTTTGATGCTATTGATGACACTATTTTCATATTGCTAATCATTAAATATTTTCTTATCAACGACATTTCTGATTATCAATCTTTCGAGCCAGCTCTGCTACTGCATCAGGTTGGTTTGGGACCATAACCACTGTATGAAATAAGCCCCAAACCCAGGCCGACATCAGGGCTGGTAACTGCAAAATCTTACCAGCTCAAAATGAATTTAACCTGACTAGACACCAAGATTTCGTGAATTTACTCAGATGTATGCAGGGATGGCAATTTTCCGCTGATCCGCAGATTTTATTTTAAATTGTTCAATTGTGAATCATCTAAATCCATTGAGAAACCCCATTTGATGACACAATATTCAGTTTTCCGCTGAAAATAGATTTTCCTGTTGCCATCCCTGTGTATGGAACATCTACAATTTTTACCAGACCATCGGGCTGGCTAGCTGTAAATTTAGACCATCCGTCAGAAATCTAGCCCATCTTGGGCGGTCAGATGGGCCTTATTTCATACACTGCCATAACCTACTCAGTCTTCATTCAGAACTGGGGTTCGCCTTAGGCTACATTCCATGTATCTGTCGTCAGATCTTTACATCAATTGAATATAGGATTTTTTAAAATGGGACTGTTGAGATTAGGAGTGAACTAATCTTTATCCTAGAATTAAAGTATTTAATAGCTGTTTGTTGGAAGATGTAAGTACAACTCTGTCATGTCCATAGACTGTTGCATCAGGCAAATTTGTCTCAAGAGCCTACGTGTCGTTCATGTAGAACTAGCTTTGAAAATATGCACATGGTTGACCTGCTTCAACATTCTATGTAGCTGTTGTCAGATCTTCATTCAGAAGCATTGTTTGGGAGTAAGACATGTTATATCAATGAGATCATTGTAATTAATAGTGGTGGTCCGATTAATTGAAATAATCAAAGATTGGTCGGAATGACCAGACGACCAAGCAATTGATCATGTTTTCTCATAATCGAACACAAACAATTTTGGAACCACTTGTTTGCTTTAACAATATTTTTCACAAGGTTTGTTTTGTCTGTTACATTTCATAAGCACTGCAAACTCATTCCTTGTCATGATTGAGTTTATCTTAAAGATTCCAGCAAATGTATGTTCCTAATATACTAGTCATCCTTTTAGATGTGAAATTTGCAAAAGCCTAAAAGAACTACATGTTTTTTCTATATTTTTTGTGCATTAACAAACATGACCAGGAGAATGTGACAAGTGACGCTAACCAATTATTTTCAATAATTGATCAGTTGTAATGAACCAGTCATCAATAGTGAGATTTGAACCAATTTCCCACACTAGTGGAACACCCGTATGTAGTAGCTTCATGATTTCACTTGTTTTTAACAGTATTTCGTTTTGTTGATGATATTCACAAGTGTTGTTTCCATGGTTACAGGTGGCACGATGGATTTTCCATATTTACTGTTGGTTCTGACGGCTTCGTACATAAACACCGAGTTGACAGGGTGAGTTGATTGAAAAGCTGAAATTAATCCTAGTATCCATAGCAATGTTGGCTGTGATATAGAGAGAAGAATGGCTAAATGTGTGTCATATGTTCTACTCAAACAACATGACAGAATAACCATGGTAGTATTAAAGATTTGGTCAAGTTCAAGTCAGTCGTTTTGTTCATGACATAAACCTGTATTTTGATTTATGATTGAAGAAACATTTTCAGTTAAGAAACTTAAATCATAGTCCTCTGGGACAACAAATTAGAGACAGCCTTTTTCTGCTCTCACTACATGTGTTTTCTTATTGTTTTTTTGCTATAGTATAGTACCATTGTAAAGTTTTAAATACTCTTTATATTTAAATACTCCTTCAGACTGATCAATATCAATTTGGGGCGGTGGGGTAGCCTCGTGGTTAAAGATTTCGCTCGTCATGCCGAAGACCCGGGTTCGATTCCCCACATGGGTACAATGTGTGAAGCCCATTTCTGGTGTCCCCCGCCGTGATATTGCTTGAATATTGTTACAAGGGACGTAAAATACAACTCACTCACTCACTCAACATCAATTGTTTCCATCTGTATATTTGGCAAGAAGTTAAACATGTAAAAAACGTATGCTTTTCTAAAAGAAAGAAAGAACTACAATTTTTTAACTGTATTGTTCTCGGCCATGTAATGAAGAGGGAATAGTAGCTGCACCATGTCACTGAAAAAAATTACGTTAACGTTGTCAGTGAAGCGTATATCAAGAGAGATACCCTTAATTGTAGCCAAATATTGATGTCACAAATGGAAGCAGAGTCCATTGCAGGATTGTATTCAAACAACTGACAACAGAAGTAAAACATGGAATGATATAACTTTACTAGGATATTTACTATTTTAATGTGGTTCAAGCTTTTTCAGTCAGTCAAAACAGGAATTCAATGTGGCTAGGGTATCTTCCCATAAGACAGACCTCCCACAAGACAGACCGCTTAAAACAAAACATTTTATGGTTGGTTGCATAAGGCTTAAATAAGCTGTACCCTTGATAATAATGGTATGTGCCCAGATAAAAAACACAACATTAGGCATTAACTATAGTTTTATCAATTCATGTAATCAATTATGATTTTTAAATTAAGACATATTGCATCAACATATATGTACATATATATTTGCCAGATCACATTTATTTGTGAATATTATCAAAACATAATCATTTATATACATGTACCTATCAAACATATGATACCAAGCACCATATTATTTAACAACACATGTTTGTCAGTGCACAGATAAGATTTATTAGAAAGTCACTTGAACATCATTATTTTTTCCTTTCACCTTGTTCTTGGCATACAGGAAGCCATCTAGAAGGGTGATCGGAAAAAAGTCAGTGAAAAATAACTATTAGAAAACATCCTGTTCTCCAGTTATATACTTTGTTTTATACTGAATTTTATAAATACTATTTCACTTTCATCTTCAAACAATCTTAAGTACTAAATCATCCTGTTCTCCAGTTATTTGAAAAAACTAATTCAACAACTGTTATAAAAACGTCGTATTGTCCAGATATTTATACTTTTATGATCTTGAGTGTTTTCTTTATGAACATGATGTAACTGGCCTCGAACATGTAAATAAGCTTATTGAGGTGAGCTTATGCATAGCGTGAAGTTAGATGTTTGGATGAACTTAATTTTTTATTAGTTCTGTAAACATCCTACTATTGAAAAAATTGTTTATCTAATGAAAAGTGATTAATCACCATTTAACTCTAAAATTGCCAAATTTATCTAAACTGGACTTTGTTCAATGTTATAATATTTATCAATATGCTGTATGTTCTCTGTGTCACTATATGTGATTTCTTGAGAATAACATTTCGGTTCTATTCTGTTCTGTTCAGTAAAAGGATTAGTAATATGTTTTGAGAAGGGCACAGGAGATAGGAGTGTTGTTACTATACGTACCCTGGAGTGACTCTGGGTCAGCTCATTAATTAAATAGGGGTGGGCAGCATGGCTCAGCTAATTAGTGTACTCATTGAGTCTGTCTTATGGGAGGTCTGTCTTTTGGGAGTGAACCGTGGCTAGCCCCTCATTATAAATAAATTAAACATTTCAACCATATTTGAAATTAATTCTTATTTTTTCCTTTACTCAGTCATGTATTTTTCAAATTTGGAAGGTGCGTAGTTTTCAACACATCAATTTTTGTGATATTGAATTTTTTTGCCTTCGTTTGTCCCTGTGAGCTACAGTTTAAACTGTTGTCTCCATATCCAGGTGAGCTACAGTTCAAACTGTTGTCTCCATACCAAGACCATTTGTGGTTGCCCCCGCCGTGATATGGCTGGAATGTTGCTGAAAGTGGCATAAAACCAAGCTCACTCAAAAACTGTGGACTCCATATCCAGGTGTTGTTTTTTCCCCCAGGTTATGACAGACGAGGAGCTGCAGGTAGCCAAGCCAGCCAGCCTGGCGGCCAGACTGTCCAGTATGCTGGGACTAGACCCCAAACCAAGCCTCAATGACTTCAGCTCACTTTTCATGAAGAGGACATTGTTTGCACCCAAATAGTTTGCCTGTATACATAACCATAGAATAAAGTGTGTACTGCTTGGGAATAACCATTAAATTATATGATGTGGAATTCATAGTTAGTAGACCGTGTGATGATGGGTCAGAAACGAGCACATGTATGTAAGTCTTGTTATGAATATCGCTACAGGATAAGAATTGTTGTCAGGAAACAAGCACATGTATGTAAGTCTTGTTATGAATATCACTACAAGATAAGAATTGTTGTCAGGAAACAAGCACATGTATGTAAGTCTTGTTATGAATATCGCTACAAGATAAGAATAGTTGTCAGGAAACAAGCACATGTATGTAAGTCTTGTTATGAATATCGCTACAAGATAAGAATTGTTGTCAGGACACAAGCACATGTATGTAAGTCTTGTTATGAATATCGCTACAAGATAAGAATAGTTGTCAGGAAACAAGCACATGTATGTAAGTCTTGTTATGAATATCGCTACAAGATAAAAATAGTTGTCCGGAAACAAGCATATGTATGTAAGTTTCTTTATGAATATCGCTACAAGATAAGAATTGTTGTCAGGAAACAAGCACATGTATGTAAGTCTCGTTATGAATAATAATACAAGATCAAAATTGTTGTCAGGAAACAAGCACATGTATGTAAGTCTTGTTATGAATATCACTAACAGGAAACAAGTAAGTCTTGTTATGTATGTAAGTAGAATATCAGTTAAGAATTGTTGTCAGGAAACAAGCACATGTATGTAAGTTTCTTTTATGAATATCGCTACAAGATAAGAATTGTTGTCAGGAAACAAGCACATGTATGTAAGTCTCGTTATGAATATCGCTACAAGATAAAATTGTTGTCAGGAAACAAGCACATGTATGTAAGTCTTGTTATGAATATCGCTACAAGATAAAAATAGTTGTCAGGAAACAAGCACATGTATGTAAGTTTCTTTATGAATATCGCTACAAGATAAGAATTGTTGTCAGGAAACAAGCACATGTATGTAAGTCTCGTTATGAATAATAATACAAGATCAAAATTGTTGTCAGGAAACAAGCACATGTATGTAAGTCTTGTTATGAATATCGCTACAAGATAAGAATTGTTGTCAGGACACAAGCACATATATGTAAGTCTTGTTTTGAATATCGCTACAAGATAAGAATAGTTGTCAGGAAACAAGCACATGTATGTAAGTCTTGTTGTGAATATCGCTACAAGATAAGAATTGTTGTCAGGAAACAAGCACATGTATGTAAGTTTCGTTATGAAGATTAATACAAGATAAGAATTGTCAGGAAACAAGCACATATATGTAGAGTTTGGTATGAATGTCACTACAGGATAAGAATTGTCAGGAAATAAGCACATGTATGTAAGTTTCGTTATGAATATTAATACAAGATAAGAATTGTTGTCAGGAAACAAGCACATGTATGTAAGTTTCGTTATGAAAATTAATACAAGATAAGAATTGTTGTCCGGAAACAAGCACATGTATGTAAAGTTTGGTATGAATGTCACTACAGGATAAGAATTGTTGTCAGGCAACAAGCACATGTATGTAAATCTTGTAATGAATATTAATACAAGATAAGAATTGTTGTCAGGAAACAAGCACATGTATGTAAATCTTGTAATGAATATTAATACAAGATAAGAATTGTTGTCAGGAAACAAGCACATGTATGTAAATCTTGTAGTGAATGTTAATACAAGATAAGAATTGTTGTCAGGAAACAAGCACATGTATCCAAGATTGTATCATAAATTGATGGAGCTCTAACCGGCAAGACATGAATAATATATACACATTTTACTCATGTTTTTGACTAATTGCAAGGTGGAAACTTGGACATGCTTGAAATGTTTGGCTTAAGAAACAACACTTTAGTTATACAATGAATGAATACAAACTGTAATAACTACAAACTTCCATTCTTGTTTGCAGGATCAGAGAGGGTACTGACTAGTTTTGGATATTGTCAGTTAGAAAAAAGTTTAATTGCTTAGATTTCCAACTACTTTTATTCATCATAGTGAGTGAGTGAGTTTAGTTTTAGCTGCACTCAGCAATATTCCAGCTATATGGCGGCATACATCACAATGATAGATTCAAGAGGTGCCCCAACCAGTCACACAGAACTAATTTGAAGGTCTGCATGTCAACTACATTTATTGTGAAAGCTGCTGATTCTAAGAGTTATTCCCATGGACTCAGGGCTGTGGCTCTTCCAACAGGTATAACTGTTGAATGTACCAGGTAGAAGAAATGGTGTTTTAGAATGGAGATAACTCTAAGAGACCCGCAAGTAAGCCCTAATGATCAAATTTCCTCCATGCTTTAATTAATCAACTGGTCCTGTCTCAAGATGAGTAAAAGATACGATCCACTTCTTTTTATTGCTATGTAACAAGTTAATTTGACCAAAATGTAATGGTTCATTATCAGTATGCATCTGTCCAGTCAAGACCTGAATAAACTGACCGTTCATTGAAATTTCTGTGAAGCAGTAGATGCCTCTGTCAGGTAAAACTGCTGACGGACACAAGAAATGTTTAAACCCAGTGACAACATCATCTCAAAGGAAGAGCATTATTAGAGGCTCCACCTTAATGGACAGCTCGGGTCGCCGACCTTAAAAAGATAGCATACGGCCCGAACATTAAACAGCTTCCTACCTATATATTAAAAGGAGAACAGGAGGTACAGGTTCCCTGTTTAAATTCTATTCTCATAACTATCTGTAGTTTGACTCGAGTCAGAGACTGTTATTCTTACTATACAATATTTCAGTCATTACTTCAACTTCTGGACCTAGGCAGGGCGTATGTCCCTAGCAGACCAGCAACTTGACCGCTTGACCTGCTCCTGATGTTACAGTCATCACCATGTATGGGCAGTGTGCGAAATAGTTTTCAAATTTTGCTAGCAAAACAGGCTAGCAATGCCTGAAAGTTGCTAGCCGACAAAGTTATTCACTGGCCCGAAATTTGAATGTAGACACGGGTTTCATCATTAAGCTGCTACTATGATTAACATTTTTATCAGGCCAAAATACTGCATGATTTAAAAGTGTATTATAACTTAACAAGTCGGAGAGACTGATCTACATGTATTTACAAAATGACCCCATGAAAATTCATTAGCCATTCGGGCCAGTGACTGTGGAGATTTACTGGCCCGACTGTATTTTTACTAGCCACTGGCTAGCGGGCCGGTGGCTATTTCCCAACCTGACCGGAGGTGAGGTGAGGTGAAATTGGGTTTAACTCCGTGTTCGAGAATATTTCGCTCATATGACGACGTGCATGCGTGTGTATGTGTATGTGCGGCTGCTTGTACTAGCCCAGACTTAAGCAGGTTTTATAGTGCTAGCCCACTGAGATACCATGCCGCAGTGAAGCATGAATACCCCACTCAGACACATTATACCGACTCCGAGCCGACCAGTCCTTGTTGTACCCATTAATGCCGAGCGCCAGACAGGGAACAACAAGTACCATATTTTAACGTATTTTGGTATGACGCGGTCGAGGAGCGAACCCGCGACCTTCCGCTCTCCGGGCGGACGCTCTAACCACTACACCACGGAGGCGGTTACCTGACCGGAGAAGGATGTATGTCTCTGTTCTGTTATGAGCCGAATGTTTTCTTTTTATTTCATTTTGTTATTGGTTCCTTAGAGTATTTTACATAGGCCACCAGGAATATACACTGTACCATCAAAACCAATGAACCAGTTACCAGTTCGGTATCAAATATGAAGTCGTCTCTGTTGGTTTTTCGGTTTCTTTTGCTGAAAATGTCCCTGAGTGTCAATGTTTTAGAGGTGTGAGACTGACACTGAGTGGGATTGAGTGGCGACATATGGACGTGTTGATACCTAATTATGGATGTGTACTCCAGCGTACCCTGCTTACAGTGATCGTGTTCAGGTAGCAGAAAGTTGGGACAATCACACAAGTAACAGTGTCGACCTACAGCAGTCCAGAATAGAATTGACTCTCTCTGGAAAAAGCTGTCGAGAATATGATTGACTAAAGCAATCTGAAATATAATTGACGAAAAGCAGTCTTGAATATGATTGACTGAAAGCAGTCTGAAATATGTTTGACCAAGAGCTGTCTAGAATATGATTGACTGAAAACAATCTGAAATATAATTGACGAAAAGCAGTCTTAAATATGATTGACAAAACGCAGTCTGAAATATTATTGATTGAATGCAGCCTAGAATAAGATTGACTAAAGCAGTCTACAATATTATTAACTCTCCTGGGTTTTTTTCAGCCTGGGAAAGATAATATTTCTTTTTTTCAAAAAGTCACTCCAAAGCAAATTTCCAGCCAGCCTAACTTGATGAACTGTTGGAATATATCCAAGTTGATAGATGTAGGTAATCTTTCAGGCCATGTGACTTGTTAAGTTGTGTATAGAGGATTGTTGCGTGACCTTGACCTGTGATGGCTGCTACAGTGCTACTATAGGACACTTGTAATAAAGTTTGTTGATCCATATTGTTGTTCTCTGTTGTTCTCAGTGTGTCTTGAGTGCATGGGAGAAGTGGTGATCATGAGACCAATCAGAGGAAAGATGACTGTCCTCGCGTCTATAGGGGGTAGCGGCGGGGTAGACTAGTGTTTAAAGCGTTCGCTCGTCACGCCGAAGACCCGGCTTCGATTCCCAACATGGGTACAATGTGTGGGGCCCATTTCTGGTGTCCTCTGCCGTTATATTGCGGGAATATTGCTAAAAAGCGGCGTAAAACTAAGCTCACTCACTCACTCACTCACTCGCATCTAGAGAGTGTGAGACGGTACTCAACCCATCATATCGGTTACTCTTAATCAATATCAACCAATGGTTTGATCATGAGACATAATTTTTTTATGTGATTCACGTAGCCACAAAATTCTGAACACGGGTCGGTCGGTCGGTGGAAAAAAATCTCAATTAAGACAAAATTATCTGAATAATCATTTATTGTAATTCTTATTACAATTTCTTTCGTTCTTTGGACTTGTTGCAGTGACTGATTAAAAGATAAACATTTTATATGACGAGGCGGTGCGTTTTAGGTTCGAGTCTGC